TTTTTTTTTTTTTTTATTTTTTTTTTACAGAATGGGTAGGGAATTTTTGAGTGACTGTTTAACACTAACCTTTTAGAACATACTATGGGATAGGAGGGGTGGGTGTGTGTGTGGGTGTGTGTTTCTGTTTTCTACCAACATAAATCTGTCATGTACGTAGGAAGATCTCAACACTTTGGAAAAAAAACAAGCTTCAGTACTGCAGTGATACATGATCTAGGTTGGATCATGGAAGCAGTTTAACTGTAAGAATAGACTGCAAGAAAGCTGACTGGAGATTTCCCAGATAGAAAAGATGAGAGACTTGGCAAAACCAGGAGATGGTTAATTATCACATAATGTATATATTTGGGGCTATGTTCATGCACACAGCTGGAGAGGTTGCTTGGGAGAAACAGTTTCTTCTCTCTTTGTTTTTGGTAAGACCAGGAAAACTGACCAGACATCAAAAGAAACATGAGTATTGCTTAAATCTGCCTGTGCTGGCCATTACATGCATATAATGGCTACAGAGTAAACTGTGAAGAGTATATGCTAGAGGTTGAGGTGTCCCTAACAGCAAATGACATGGTCTGCATTGTAGGAACTGCCCCTCTAAATACATACAGTCATTCTTGTGTGGGCATTCTTCCTGTCTAATCTGGTAATAACTGGCAAATAAGATGTTCAGAGAGAAAGCTGAGCCCCCAGTACACAGATGCCCATTTTGTGAACAGATCAAAACGCTTGTTTTCACATGCACAGATGCATGTAAGTGCAAGTTCACAAAACTCCATTGTGCATATATTAAAAGATAAAATGTTTACCAGTAAAATCTGTGGCATTACAAAAGTATCCTACAACAGCTGCGTTCTCAGTTTCAAAAACCTAAAATATTATTACACAAGTTAGACCAGCAACTCTTGGCAATCGCCTAATCCCTAATAAAGTTATACGGGTAATAGAATTAGTTACTACACATGACGGATGGTTTTAAAAACAGACTTCTCTGTTAATTCTTAGATTTTTTTTTTTTCCGTAACTGTTACCTGCTTATTTATTCTTTGTCTGGCAATATCACCACATCTGTCTGAACTAAGCGATCTGGCAAATTAGGAAAAAATTAATTTTACTGTAAATGCTTAATTATAAATGTGATTTTTGCTGCAGCAGATGCCACTATGGGCTAAATCCTGGGCCAAATATATTCACTTGGAATTCTGAACTCCAAAAAAATAAAACTGAGGATATGTTTAATGGCAGACAGGCAAATTAAGACAGTGCCTTCATTCTCAGTTTGTCACATGGATAAGGATATTCTAACCAGCTTTGAGAAAATGTTGCTATTCCTTTGCAAAATCTTCACTTACAAAAGTAAATACAATGTCCTACCATTTGGATTCTCAGGTGGTGACCATTCCACAGCCAGTTCTGTAGAGCTGATGGTTTCTATTACCGGTGGCTGTAGCCCTTCTGGAGGAGCTTGTGCAGTAATTACTGTTACTGGCTGGCTCTTTAAACAGCCTCCACTAGTACAAGCTTGCACAGAAAAAACATACTTTGTAAACGGAATGAGATTCCAAATAATGGCTGAAGTTTTTAAGCCTTCATACTGACCACAAGGCTGAAGATCAACCAAGCGAGTACATGTCAAAATGTATTTCTCTATGGGCCCAGAGTCATTGGAGAGGCTTGTCCAATAAAGTAAAACAGAGTGGTGACTAACAGGAAATACAGGATTTAAGTGCAAGCTTCCTGTAGGCATCCCAGACGGTGTTCTGTATGTCACTGATGCACTTTTTGTAAAACCATGAACATTGCTGGCTTGGATGTAATAGGAATAGAAGGTATACGGAGATAACATGGTATCAGTAAAGGTCTGAACACCTAAAACAAAGAGGTGAGAAGAAAATTGTATCAGTCTAACACATTAAAAATTATCTTAATTTGCATACTTAAAGTCTTTCTAGTTCTAATCCAAGGCATAATATATTCATTTTTGCATGCTCTTCTGGAGATCATTAAGAACATCGTAACTCCTCAACTTTTTTTTTTTTTTTTTTAAACAGGGAAAAAAACCCTCCCCTTTCCCCTTTATCATCTTCCACTGCACACTGGCATCACTAGAAAAATCGTTTTCCCACTGGATTTCTCACAGGTTCTTGCTTTAATCATGAACAAGATTAATACAATTATCTTCATATTCCTCCTTTGCTTAGAAATTACTTCAAATGTAAATCAGCATCAATATTAGTGGATCTGATTTAGGAAAACACTCCACAACATTCTGTAAATTTTCACACCTTTGTTTTTGCTTCATTTCATAGCGTAAAAACAAAAATTTCATCTTTCTGTGCTTTCGCTTCCTCTTTTCTAAAATAGTGCTTAATAGTTCATTTGTAAAGCACTCAATCGTGGATGAAAAGTGAAACAGAAGTGCAAATAATTATTAAAAAGTATGTCCAAAGTCTGTATTTACCTTCCTCGCCCCTTACCTTCCATTAGTCTAGAGAGCTTTTTAGCAGCTTTTTAGTAGCGATGAGCATGAATAGCTCCTGGGTATATTCCAGCAGCAGTTAGTCATTAGAGCACAATATGAATTTATGTACAATCATACCACCATACATTGTTTTGCCTTAAAAAAGTAGTGAACAGTGAGTAATATATTACATGCTAGAGCACAAAGCAAATGGAGAGAGAACAGACATTTCTAAGTCCCCTCTGTATATCTCTACTGGCAAGCCAGCCCTAAGCACAACTTCAAGAAGAGGACCACAAAATTATGAGCATTGCTAGACATTTAACACTTGACATTGTAGTACAAAAGCAGCAGTGTCAGCATAATAATTGCTTACAGCACTTCAACTACCTATGGCAACTGCAAACTTATTGCTGGAGTCCAGCAATACAGAGACCGGGTAATCTCACCTTCATGCCTCTCAAACCCTGGCACTTCAGGCAAGGTTAGGGAACAGCTCTGCCAGTGTCAGAAATAGTTATCGTGACATCCTTGTGAATTGGTACCCAGCAGGCAAGCGATGCAGCAAATGTCAGTTTTTCTGGCAAGATTCAGCTGTTTCCTCAGCTTTTGGGTTAGCGTGCTGTTTGTAATTGCGAGTGCAAGAATTCGAGTGTACTGTAGAATTGTTGAGCCCTTTTTCAGCTGCCCTGGCTGAAGCGCTTCTAGGCGCAAGAGTGGGTACCAAAGCCAATTCGACAAGTGTTAGACAAGATTCTTGGACAGGCTGGCAAGAATCCTTTGAGCAGGAGCCTGAAAACTAGTTTCTGTGAAGGACACCAGCAAGTAGGAGCTTGCCATGTGTCCAGTTTCCAATTTTGTCACCATTCTTCAATGGCGACAGAGGCAGTGTGAGTCAGTGTGCTAAAAACCTGGGAGAGCTGTGTTTAATGGGATGATAGGACCCTCATCCTATGGGCCTTCAAATCAAGAGACACCAAGAAGAAAAAAGCACACAAGAAGAAAAAAGAAAATAAGAAAGAAAAAAAAAAACCAAACACCAAGACTGCTAGTATCAGCAAGTACCACAAATCCTCATGAGATGACAAAACAGCAGTACCCCCTGAACTAGATTCTGAGACCTCTCTCCTCCGAACCCAACCCTGCTCTAGAACCATATGCTGACCTGGAACCCAATCTAGACCCAACAAGCAAACTAGAACATTATCTAGATCAACCAGTTATCTGGAACTGTGAGGCAAGATAGAACATACTCAAGAACCAAGAAAAGGTCCTGAACCAACAAATAAGCTGGAGTTAGACCATAGTCCTGAACCAACAAGCTAGCTAAACCATGATCCTGCTCTGGTACCAGCCATGAAAATGGAACAAATTTAGAACCAATAAGCAAGCTAGAACATGATCTGGAACGATGAGGTGAGATAGAACATGCTCAAGAACCAAGAAAAAGTCCTGAAACAACAAGCAAGCTAGAGTTAGAGCATGGTCCCGAACCAACAAGTGAGCTAAACCATGATCCTGCTCTGGAACAAGCAAGCAAACTAGAACACAATCTAGAAGCAACAAGCAAGCTAGAACATGATCTCAAACTGCCCCCTACCAAACTGCCAACTCCAGAATTCATGCCTGCTCTGAAACGACTGCACCAACACCACCGTAGCTCTACAACCAACCAACCCCAAAACCCAGCCTTTAGAACAGACCCAGACTCTAGGGCCAACCCAGACTCTAGGGACCCAGGTCTAATATTGACAGCAAGCACATTACTTTCCTCTTTTCGAGTACAGGGATCAGAAGAGGATGATCACCCAGAACGCTGATATTGTCTGCCAGAAAAGTAATCAGCACCATCTCAACATTACAAGAAAGTTCATTCGGTATTGATGGAATACCCGATAATCAGATGGTAACTTTATTTTAATAGAAATATACGCTAGATAAAATTGGATAAAGCCAAAAGGCAGAAGGTTCTACAATCCTCAGGTGAACAACTCCACCATAGATTTAGCTACATTTATAAATAATTAGAATCAACATGAATTGGAGGTGGAATTGTAAGTAACTTTGGGGTTTTTTTCAGATTTTAGGGCAAGTATTTCATTTTATCCTCAAGACAAGGATTGGTATCTCATGAGCCTCTGGTTTCCCAAAGCAGTTAGAAAAACATTGTTTTAATTGGGCATTCTGCAATACTATCAGCCAGATCACCAGGCCGATTTAGAAAATTATTCTTAGTTTTCCTTAGGAAGTTCAATGTTTCTATAAAACTCTCATTTAGTTGTAAGTTAATGTTCATCCAGTTGCACTCTTGGGGCATTTCATAAGCATTATAAATTCCACACTATACTCAGAAAAAAAGTAACATTATCAAAAGTTCTGAGAGCATTAACAACATATTCATGATATTTAAACACAAGCAGATGACTTCACATCATTAATTAGGGAGATTGACAGGAAATGTCAAAAACGTCTTTTGAAACCAAATTTATGTTTTTACAAATTAATGTTTTGTTAAATAGAAACATGCCAATGTCTTATTATCCAGCTAAACACATTCAGAATTTTTCACTTTCTACAAAGTAGGTAGGTACGGTCATGAAACAAAATCCCCAACAATGCATTGTTTCAAGTACATTATTAACAAAAAATTTATGACAACAAAGTCTAAGAGCTGTTCCTTTAAAATTAATTCATATTATTACTTAAGTTAGGCTTTAAAACCAAATTAAGGAATTGGAATATTTGCTATTAGCTCTCTAAACCTTTTCGTAATGTTTTTTTCTCTCTGATCCATCACTTAACCCCATGTTTGCATACCTTTCCTCATGGTATGTACTGCGGAGTATCTAAATTCAGAACATAAGTCACAGAATAGTCAACTATAAGACAGCAGCATGCACCGGAACACAAAACTTATGTGCATTTCAAAGGATTTGTGCTTCCGCTGATTAATAGTGTTTGAGTATTTTTCTTCCAGGGTACATGTCAATAATTAGAAAGACTCAACTGCTGCAAAATATTAATGTTTTATTGGTATGAAAATACAATAAACTAAACAAGCTGCTAGAACAGAAAGTAAACTTTAGTGGCATTAAACCACACCGGACCTAAAAAAAACCCGTTTGTGTGTCATATATACATAAAAATAGTATCCAAATCCATCTCCTTTGCTTTGATAAGAGGATCGATAGTAGCACAAAATGGTCTTTCCAGCTAGGACGGTGTCGAATCCTTGAGGACTGCCTTCTGAGGATCCCTTTGCAAGCCTCAACATGAGAGAAGTGGTGCTGTTAAAGGCAAATCAGGAGCTACACTGAGAGCTTAACAGAAGGTGCTAAAAGTTAGAAGCCACAAAAAGCTTTCCTAATCTGTTAACAGTTTAAAACCAGGAGGATGAAAAAAGGAGTTTAAGCACATTATGGTCTATTCCACTCACCCTAATTCTTTATCTGAGACTTTGCCTCTTCTAGATTTTGGAGCCTGTGTATATTCACAGGGAATGCTTTTGCTGAGTCAATTTTAAAGTTTTTCAGGTTAAAAAGTAAAAAATTATCAGCCATTTTGGGTGACTCAGTCTGCCAGATGTTAGACTGGGGTATTCATTTCTTTCAAGCAGAATTAATAACACAGAACAGTAACTCACTAAACAGAATGATGTATTCAAAACCAGAGAATGATAATGACAGAAACAAGAAATAATTAAGGAAAAATGCATATAGATATGTACACAAACACACAAAATCTTTGATGTCATCTTACTATAAATACTTACTATAAGGGTGGTAGTCTTCAGTTGTATAAATTTCAATCTCATCCCTATACAGTTGGTAAGTAAGCCTGTTAGAATTTGGAGAGTCAGGGGAACTCCATGAAAGACTGATAACAGAGGAATTGACAACTTCTCCTGTAGGAGGAGGTTGCTGGAATGGAGCTAAAACATACAGAAAAACAGAGGATGTAAAATAGAAGGTAATCAATAATCACACAAATTTAAAAATGCAAAGAAACTGCTTTCTTCAGAGAAAAACTGTTGAGTAAACATACAGTCACCCACACAAGACATTAACAGACTAAACTAATCCATCCAAATGCTCTCCAACAAAGTTTTTTATTCAAGTACATGAAACAAATTTATACATTTAAACAAATGACAAATAAATTTAATCCTCCTTTCCCCTCTAAATTAAAGCAAGTACACTGCAGTTCAATATAAATATTAATATAAATACATATAAAATGGGAACATGTTTATCTGGTCACATTATTGAAGTCTATAGTTCAATTATAATTTATTTTTTCAGAGGATTCATTCCATTTTAGCATAGGCCAGACATAACTTCCTCTAATAGAATAGAAATGCGAAGTCCAACTAACTACAAATTTTACCGAAGTGTTACAACAAGCCTACTTAATCAAATGACAAAAAACATAAAGGGGCAAATTTTGAAGGTTATTTAGGCAATTCACTTCCATTTGTTTCCAATGAAATTTAAATCAATGAGAGCGAGGTGTCTAACATTTAAAAAAAATCAGCTTGAGATTCTTATTTACCAAAACACTACTCTGCTATCACCTCCATTAACTTTGGGAAATGAGCTACTTAATTCCACCAGTATCAGTAAATAGAAAAACAAACCTGAAGTTCACAAGCCAGAGTCTCACATTTTCAGAAAGAGACTCAAAGTCCCTCCTATGTCTCTTTTGTAATTCAACTGTATGACCATGGTCCTAAGATAACGGCCAATACTCAGAAATTAAACTTTATATGCATATACACGTATACATAAACACACACATGCACATAAACATACATTTTTATGGTTCAACTTGACAATATGGACACTTGGACTTGTGCAAAGAATGTGACACTGTGCCACCTGACACCCTTATCTCTAAATTGAAGAGACATGGATTTGACAGATGGACCACTCGGTGGACAATTAATTGGCTGGATGGTCGCACTCAATTGTGGTCAACAGCTCGATGTCCAAGAGTTAAGCAGGGACTAGTGGTGTTCCTCAGGGGTCAGTGTTGGGACCGGCGCTGTTTAACATCTTCGTTGGTGACATGGACAGTGGGATTGAGCGCACCCTCAGCAAGTTTGCTGACGACACCAAGCTGTGTGGTTTGGTCAACAGGCTGGAGGGAAGGGATGTGCCATCCAGAGGGACCTGGACAGGCTGGAGAGGTGGGACCCTGCAAACCTCATGAAGTTCAGCAAGGCCAAGTGCAAGGTCCTGCACATGGGTCAGGGCAATCCCAAGCACAAATACAGGCTGGGCGAGGAGTGGATTGAGAGCAGCCCTGCAGAGAAAGACTTGGGAGTAGCAGTGGATGGAAAACTGACAATGTGTCAGCAGTGTGCACTCACAGCCCAGAAAGCCAACTGTATCCTGGGCTTTAGGTTGAGGGAGGGGATTCTCCCCCTCTACTCTGATCTTGTGAGACCCCCCCTGCAGTGCTGTGTCCAGCTCTGGGGCTCCAACATGAGAAGGACACAGACCTGCTCAAGCGGGTCCAGGGAAGGGACATGAAGATGATGAGGGGGCTGAAGCACCTCCCTTGTGAGGACAGGGTGAGAGAGTTTGGGTTGTTCAGCCTGGAGAAGAGAAGGCTCTGGGAAGACCTTATAGTGGCCTTCCAGTACTTAAAGGGGGTGACAGGAAAGATGCGGGGGGACTTCTTATCAGGGAGTGTAGAGATAGGATGAGGAGTAATGGTTTTAAACTGAAAGAGGGCAGATTTAGATTAGGTATAAGGAAGAAATTCTTCACTGTGAGGGTGGTGAGACACTGGCACAGGTTGCCCAGAGCAGTGGTGGCTGCCCCCTCCCTGGCAGTGTTCAAGGCCAGGTTGGACGAGGCTTTGAGCAACCGGGTCTAGTGGAAGGTGTCGCTGCCCATGGCAGGGGCTTGGAACTGAATGATTTTTAAAGTCCCTCCCAACCCAACCCATTCTATGATCTTAAAGGTCTTTTCCAACATAAATGATTCTATGATTCTGTATTTATGTTATTATTCAAGTCAGAGCATGAGTCCATATCCTGTTAGGAGATCTCCCACCAGCCTGTTACACTAAGGAAAGCACTACCCTCTGTCCCTTAGTACACTGTGCATTCACACAGAAGACAACTGGTCTGGTTTGGCAGCTAGTAATTGCAATAGCTTTAGCTTGACTCAAAAGCAGACTGTGCCATTTCTCTACCCTCTTTACCAAGGGAGGGAAAAACAAACAATTGTGGATCTAGAGGAAAACATTTTGCTCCAGGAGTGAGAATAGCTGAGGGCAGTACAGAAATCAGCATATGGAGTAGGCTACCAGAAGCTGGATCCAGAAGCACTCAGTAAGTTTTTTTTTTCTTTTGAATTAAGCATTATAGAAAAATATAATTTGAAACATGTGGTTTTTCATTATTTTTTTCTCCTTCTGTTTATAAACCATAATCATTGTCATTATGTGGATACTTGCTTAATATATACAACTCACCAAAAGTTAATTATCAGAATCCGTTCAGCCAAGTTAACAGGAGACAAGAAGCAAAGAGTGAGGTTGCAGAGAGAAAACGGCATGAGGACCTCAAGCCACACAAGTGATAGGCCTAGAGACTTACACCAACATCAGTGGGTCACATTATATGCAGGTTTTTAACACAAATCTAAAACGTGAGTGGAGCTCTTTGAGTAAGCTAATGAAAAGCTTTGCTTCTACTGCAGTCTCTCAGCCAAGAAACAGCAGAAAATATCTGTAGGATTCATTGGATTGAACAGAACACATAATCATCTCCGATTAGAAAGCATAGATTGTTTTGCTGCCAATCTAGAGGTTTTGAGTTCAGCTGAGTTAAGAAGTGAATGTATGCTAAAGTGTCTACAGGAGTAAAGTTTGAGAATCAAAGGAAATAGGTGTTCCTAAATCCCTTCGGCATTTTTGAAAGTTTCTCTTTATGTAATACATGCTTACAAGACCTGAGCAATCATAGAAAATTACCAGCACAACTTTTCGTTCTCCATTCTCAGTCTCACACTATTACATACTGCTTCCACACGTTTGCTTACACATTCAAAATGCAAAGCAGCAAAGTATTGCATTTCAGATTTGTTATGGAGCATCTAAGATATCGTTGGGCACAAGAATTGAAAACAGGTCTTTTCCCTAAAGAACGTTAGCTGGACAGTGACAGCAACTTAGGTTTGCTTCCCTGGAAAAACACTTACAACTAGTAATGGTATGTGTCAACAAGATACAGTTCTGCACTGAAAATAACCACAAATATCAAGCTAGACACAGCTCCATATCTGTGCAACAACTTAAAATATTTTGGTATGAAAAACCAAAAGACTGTAATTGCTATATCACTTATGTCCAGAAGAGGACTCCACTTGTCATTTAGAATACTGCCTGGTGTATTTTTTCTAACTAAAATCTATGATATTATTTATCTATGTCATATTATTATTAATCAATTTTATAGTTGAATTGCCATTGACCTTTATCCAATGTATATCCCAACATAAATAAGTAGGTTGGTTTATGTTTGTAAAGCACTTTGAAGATGAACAGCATCATAAAAATGCCATATATTATTATGCATTCAGTTGAAACATCCTGCATTTTTTAAGAAACAACAAGCCAATCAACTATCTACACGATGAACAGACACTATGCCTTCTACAGAAGAGTATGGGGAAAACCAAAACTAAACGGTATCTAAACACTTCCAGACTTTGAGGAGAAAAATAATCATCTTTGGAAACAAATCAGCCTCTTTGTTCTATCCCATTTATAGCCCTGTGCATTCTGCAATGCATATTATTTGAAATTTAAACTGGTTTACAATGAAATGCAAACTGGAATCAAAGTGAGAGCTGTCTGTCCTTGTAAACAAACTCTGTGCATTTATATCTCTGCTTGCAAATCTATAGTGTGCATATATCACAATGATAAATATCATATAAATACCTATGCAGAATACACATGTTGACAGAGGATCCAGAATGGGAATGTCTAACCCTGTCGTTGCATTACACATGGCTACCTGAGCTAACCCTCACAGTAGGACAAGTGTGGCCACTAATAATTAGGCCTGCTGACAGAAATAACCAATTAGCATCCACAGAGTACCTCATTTACTGGTTACATGACTTCCAAGACCGGACTGTTAACCGTGTATGGTAGTAAGGTGTGTCACAAAAATGTAACACAACTCTTTCAGAATTAGCTGAGGTCCACACAGTTTGGCATTGCAGGGTATGATGTCCCCAAAGACCTTTGCTGAACATTGACTTGAAGACAACTTAAAAATTTAATTTTCTTATTACATATATTTTTTCCTCCTTCTTTAAAATTCCTGCCAGCTTAGAGACTTTGCACCAGTGAGCAAATTTGAACACTTAATTTTGACTAATTATGACACAAAGGCTGAAACTGTGCCATCTCTTCGTATCCAGACTCACTGCAAGGACAGAAGTGCAGATGACCCATTGCAATGCGTTTCATTACAATTCATGATCTGACCCACAACATGGTATTAGCCCCACCTCACACATGTCAATTTATGACACTCTATTACACCACATCACATATTTTCCCAAATCAACTAAAAAA